CGTTTCATTTTTCCCAGCATGAAGTTTTGTTGGAATATACATACTGTAGGTGCTTTCTTTGTGTATCAGTTATTGCCTAATGCACATAACCAGTGGCGACTGGTGAAAAAAAATCTTGGTGGGGCTGATGTGCCAATAGATTTCCCTGCCAAACCCAGTACATGCATTCAAGTTAAAAGTCGGAAAATTACTACAATTCCACAATAAGCATTTAATTCCCTTCTCAGAATCAGCAGTTTACAGATACAGTTAACCATTTAAAGCTATATTAGGTCTTATTTTGGAAAGGAACAGTATGAAATACAATACTTAATTTCACTATTTGTCACCAAACACACAAAGTAGGCACACAAGTGGTTAGCTTAACACAGTTAGCTTAACACATTTCCAGACTGTGTCCACGTCAAATCACTCCGGTTTCTTTTTAAAAAGGATGCAGCGAAAACACAAAAGTGCATGGCCGTCCCACAGGCTGTCAGCCAGGACTTACGCTAAAACCAGCTCCTGCTAAAAGCTTTTTCACTGGTTCGCTGCGTTAAATTTTTTTAGGGCTTGTCAGGTCCCAGCTCTTTTACATGGATTTTTTCCTCCATTGTCCTTCTCACGAAAGGGTAAAGATCTCACTAAATATCTCACTGAATTATGTGAAAGCAGCTATTCAACTGTTGTCATTGCCGTCATCTCTACGTCACTGCCTGGTAGCAGGGGCGCCAGTTCCAGGCGGCCCAAAGCCATTAAGTTCGGCAATGCTGATTGGCCAAATATTTATCAATCTTCCCTAGCAACATTATGCAATTGGTTATTTCGCTGCACTTCAGTGCACATAACACAGTTCGTGTTGTATTCCGGGCTTATTTGTCCTTATTTGTGGTTGCCACTCACCATTCTGCCACTAGAGGTTGCCAGACGCGCCTTCCTGGAGTCGTGTGACATCATCCAGCACACCGGATCCCAATTAGCTCATCCAGCTGGGAGTACTTGAGGAGCTGACTGCCAGAACTTCAGCGGCTGAGTGTTAGCCAGTAACGGTACCTCTGAGCCCCATAGAGCTAATCTCTGATTTCTCTTCGTTGTCTGATCTTTTAGTGATTCTCCCTGTTGTTTCCTGCCTTCAGGTGTTTTCCCTGAGACGTCCTGGATTCCCCTCCGTGTCGATCTCCTCCGGCTTCCTGTCGAAGATCGTCCTCGTGACACCGTGGAACGTACCCACCGGTTGCCCGAGTTTCCATACTCACCCCTGAAGTCAGATTGCAAGTTTTCCTGTGGTTTTCCGACTGGCAGTCATCCGCTTATCTGTTTTCCCGCTGGACCTGAGCCTACCTGTCTGCCCTCCGACGCACTTACCATTACCCTTTGGAATCCAGCCGCTAACACTGGACCACCTGGACTCACAAGAGGACAAGGATCCCAGAAATGTTTAATACCCTCACCAAGACCACAAACCACATCTACCAAGTAAGCTCGTTCCAGTTTGTCTATTTGTCCTCTTCCGACAGCCCCTGAACTAATCATCCTGCCTTACCTCTCCTAGTATGCCGATCGCTCTGTGAGCCCATTCCCGGATGACACCCGTTTTCACCACGTTCACTATTGTTAGTCTTCACAATAAACACTCATTCACTGATTCAACTTCTCCTGTGTTGTGTTCTGCATGTGGGCTAGAAAACTGGTACCCATCATGACAGAACATTCAGGCCAACAAACTAGCCCAGCTGATGCAATTAGGAGAACATTGTCTGAACAACACTCACTGTTACAATCTCATGAAATCGCGTTAAGAGAATTAAGCACACGGCAGGCAGAAACAAACCAACGGTTAGCAGAAATCGCTAACTATCACCAAGGTTCAGTTTCTCAGACTCCGGCTCCTGATACTGCACCGTTTCAGACCAGGCCCCAGTAATCCAGCCCACGTTCCAATGTCCGACCACCTACACCAGAAAGTTTTTCAGGAAATGTAATGGTTTTCTGCTGCAGTGCTCCATCATTTTCAGTCACTCACGACGGCGCTAAGATCGCGTATGTGTTGTCCCTGTTGTCCGGGCGAGCTATTTTATGGGCAGAAGCCCGTTTTCCTATCCCTGCTAATTACGGTTGCTCCTTTTGAGGATTTCCTGAAGGAATTCCGACAAGTATTCAGTTACGATTCCGACAAATCCTTTAACTCACGGGAACTATGGAATATTAAACAGGGTCACCGTACAGTCGCAGATTTCGCAGTTGATTTCCGGATAAAAGCTGCAGCTACAAGCTGGAATTCGGCCGCTTTAAAGAGTGCATATTTTAACGCTCTGAATGAGTCCTTAAAGGATGAGCTCGCAACTTTAGACGAACCAGCGACATTAGAGGACCTGATTAGTCAGACTCTACATCTTGATAATCGTATCCGCTCTCGAGCGAAGGAAAGGAGCCGGAGAAACCAGCCTGTAAGACATCTTGGCAGTGCTACTCCCGCTCCGGCGGTTTCCCCTCCCCGAGCTTTTCAGGATCCCGAGCCCATGCAGGTGGGTCGGGACCGTCTAACTCCTGAGGAGTGACAAAGACACATTCCCACACGCCTATGCCTGTACTGTGGGTCCCCGGGCCATTTTCTCACACAATGCCCGATTCGTTTAAACCTCCAGGTTCCCCAGTAGAGGCGAGGAGGCTGGGGAACCATTCACTGAATAAAGATGCTCCTCGTTTATTATTACCAGCTACTATAAACTACAAAACTCAGTTAATCCCATTGTCTGCCCTGGTTGATTCTGGCTGCGAGCAAAATCTCATAGATGGAGTACTGGTCCAACAAATGGGAATCAAGACCGAGTCGTTATCTGTTCCTCTCCGAGTCACTGCTTTAGATGGAAGGACCCTTCTGCAAATAAGTCATCGAACTAAACCACTTCATTTAATTATTTCTGGAAATCACAACGGATTAACTCCATTTCTGTTTTTTCCCACGTCGAACTCACCCATAATCCTCGGGTTCAAATGGCTTCAACAACATAACCCACGAATCAACTGGTCAGACAGGTACATCAAATCATGGTCCACCATCTGTCACTCATCCTGTTTCCGCTGGGCTATTCCTACAGGTCCACCGCCGGCTGTCCCACAGAAGGCAGACCTGTCCGACCTGTCGACATCCCCTTCGAATACCATGACCTCGCTCCTGTGTTCAGTAAGTCCAAGGCACTCTCTTTACCCCCTTATAGACCTTATGACTGCTCCCATTCTCACCCAACCAGATCTCTCTAAGCTGTTCATCGTGGAAGTCGATGCATCATATACTGGAGTTGGAGCCGTATTGTCCCAGATCTCAGCCCAAGATAATAAGACTCACCCCTGTGCCTTTTTTTCACGCAGATTATCCCCTCCGGAACGGAACTATGATGTGGGAGACTGTGAACTCTTGGCCATCAAGTTGGCCCTTATACGTTGTTATCGTCTATTGCTTTCCCTGTCCCCCTCACAGGCCTGGCATTACTTATTACATGTAAAGTATAACTAATAAACCAATAAATAAATAAGCAGTACTGGAAAATCAAGGGATGGGTTTGCACCCATACAGCTTCCCTTGGCGAAGCAAATGTGTTAGCTTAACACAGTATTCAGATCACAGTTCTGCTACCATAATGTTGAACAGGATATTGGAAAAAAAAAAGAAAAGAAAAGGTTAATCTGTCTGTTGAACATCCATCTGAGATGTACAACTAACACTGCAAGTCCCATTGAATTTCAGTTTTCCTGCAAGCCCCCCTCCCCTCTTCAAGTTTGTGTGTCCCTCTACCTCTATCTCTATCGCACCACTGACTCTGATCTGTGTTTCCCCTCTATATAGCTTATTATCATAGTGATGAGAAATGTAATATTGTGTCTACTCTGTAAGTCGCTTTGGATAAAAGCGTCTGCCAAATGCATAAACATAAACATTCACTCTACCTTGCTAACTGCCACTATTGTAATGCAAATAACCTGTCACTTAATTCTCCCACTTATGTTCTCGTAAAGCATGAAATGAGATTGATGATAGTGATCTGAATTTTTTATTTAATTTTCTAAGACTAAGTCTAAGATAGAGAATTAAACATGATTGCATGTGTGACTATGGTTCACGGTGGAACCAATTTCTGTTTGTTTGTATTCTCTTTGAGGTTATCAACCTGCTTATGATTCCACAAAAAGTGACAAAAGTCAAATAAAAGAAAGGACTAAGTTGATCTGAGTTGTTTTCTGCGTCATCTGTGCCAAGCCTGGTCGAGTCAGGCAGAAAAACCCCATAATAACTCGACAGTCATTATTGTATAAATATTCTTGCCTTCTGTCTCTACCGTTCTAGCTCATTAAACTATTTTCATTGTACAGATCAGTTGTCATCTGATAACTGCGCTGGTGGCTCAGCTGTTTGAAATCATTCCGATGTTGGCAACACCAATGACGTAGACCTTGTTATATTTGATTACAAATATGATTCCTCCCCCCCCTCGCCTGCACTCAGGTAAAACACTCATCAACACAGAGGCTTGAGCTAAAACTAAAACTGACGGGGGTGGAATGGGTCTCCAAGGACTGCGCTAATGGTGCATTTAAATCTGAAAAGGGATTAATGTGTTGTGAAATACTGTTGGAGGCTGATGCAAGTTCTAGTGTCTTTGGGCTTTCTAGTGCTAATAGTTCAGAAATTCAGAATTGTAAGAACCAAAACATACCTGTAAAATATAATCAGTTGGAACAAGTTGGACTAAAAACTTAGTGCTAGAGTAACTATTTTACGAGTATTAGCTTTACTTGGAGGCTGGCCGGGGTATGGTTTCACACCGACACACCTGCAGACAATCCCACTCACTTTAAGACTCTAATTCCCTGCCAGAACACTCCCCTCAATATCAATACTTTACAACGGCTAAAGCAATAGCGACCAAAAATTTAACATAGTGCAATATAGTTGAGCATAAACTTTCAATAAGCAACAGCAACAAATTTTCAAGTTGTAGTAGACACATCTGCCTCATCTCTACTTCTCCTTCAGCCAGTCACTGAGACAAACTAGCTTCTCTACATTCTCAGAGCTCAAGGCTGCCCTCTTTTTTTGGACTATGTTACTTGCAATTGAAAAAAGTATCTCGCAAGGAACAGAACTTGCAGGGGCAGCTAGATTTTTGCGAGCCAGGACAGACAGCTGTTGATCGGCTCCTGCGTGAGTTTTCTAGCACTGCAGCGGGCATTCCTCCATGCTAATGGTGGGCTCTGCTTTGTAGTGGTTCAGATCCCTGCTTGGTTCTACCATGTCATCATCTAAGTCTGTATCTGAAACAAAGATAAGGAGGCTTCCCTTTTTCGGTGGCTCTTCTACAGGTTTTGGGGTAGCTGTACTGGGTTTATTTTCCAGCAGAGCCTGAAGGCTGGTCCACACTGCTTCTCTATCTCCTTTTTTGAAGACACTTCAAGTCCTTGAAGTGTGGGTCTAATGCTGAAGCTATGTTGCGCCATCCATTGTTGAGGTTTGCTTGCTGTTCAGACCGGTCCTTTTTAAAAGCAGTCTTAGATTTTCCAATATAGGCTGGGTCCTCGTCCGAAACTTCCATTGTACAGGGCCGGTGGCAGAGAGCAGGCAATACCACAGAGCAGGAAACATAAGTTTTATGTCCAAAGAGCTCAGTTGCATATCTGCAGAGGATGATAAGAGATGCACAATCTGCATTATGCTATATCAGTCATAGTACCCTAGCCTACTTAAACAATTCGCAAAATAAAATATTGTAAATGTCTTTACAATAGATAAAAAAGAGATATTTTGTGTGTGTGTGTGTTTGTAAGCTTTTAACTCTATGGTTCAAGGATGGTTTTCAGCCTCTGAAGTTTGTCCCTGATGTAGTCAGCATAGTCAGCTTGTGCTTCTGGCTGCTCCGTGTAGCCTTGATAGCCTCCAGGTTCTCCAGGAGACGAGAGATCATGGTGAGTGATGAGTTCCATCTTGTGATAACTTCCTGAATCAGACTTTGGATCACTTGCCCAAGTTGAGTTTGCTGCTGGTGGAGCTCCTCTGTATTGGCAGGGCTATGTTTAAAATGTCCCACTATCTTACAACACTTTGCCAATGTGTCACAAAACCCACTGTCTGTGACACAAACAGAGATGCTTTTCTGTAACACATGAGCAACACAAGGCATGTGCTCATATGGAAGCTTTCTCGCTGCAGCGATCATGTTTCGGGCACCGTCTGTGCCAACTGTGGTGATATTTGGTTGAACTCCCCATGCCTCCGCCACAGACACAAACTGCTGGGCGCAGGCATCGGCGTAATGCCTGGTCTCCATTTTTAGCATTGCTAGCGCAAATGACTGGAGCTTCCATTGACAGTCAATGACACCAAGGTAATTTTGATTGCTAACTGAAATCCAGTTAGGTTCTGCTCCCACCCTTTCAGTGTTGTACAGCTGCTGGATTTCTTTACACAATGGTGTTTCGTGATGGCGGGTTATATGTCATGTCTGAAGAGGCTATTTACAAAACCTCCGCTAACTCCGTGTCTTCTATCAATGATACTGGTCTTCAAGACAATGCGATCCATTTAGCAAGGGAATTGCTAAGTCGGTCACATGCAGATTTGCTTAGTTTACGTTTCAGTGTTTGCTTCAGTGTGGTTTGATGATGACCTTGCTAGAGCTTGTATGACAGGACGTGCTAGGTCATGGTCCTACCCGCGGGTTAACTCCTGGATGCTTTGCACTTATTAGGCCATGGAACAGAATCTGTACGATGACTTTCCGTTTGAACTTTTTGGGGGCAACTTTCTTCCAGTTTAATTAGATACTTTGGACTTCAGTGATCTCAAAAAGCCAATTTTCCAGCGTTTTCACTTGCACATTAATTAATTACGGCCAATTAAAATTTCGGTAGTTCCACATCTGGCCTATAGATGGCTAAAACGAAGAAAATCTCCATATTTTTGGTTTTAACCAAGTGATCTTTACCAAAAATACTTTAAAATCATTAAGGTTGATCATTAGAAAAGTTTATTTTATGCCAATACTGATGGAATCAACATGGAAATGCAATTTAGACCTTTAGTTTAGATTTTCGCTGCCAGAGGGCCACTGAACCTGAATCCTACATATTTTCCACTTTATACAGCCATAGCAAGACAAAAGACAATAATTTAATATGCAAAAACCTTGTTTTTGGTCCAAATAATTTCTTACTAATTTAATTATTGAAAAACTGACACTTCACTTTCCATCATATTGCATTTATTAACTTTATGAGAGAAAAACAACTACAATCACAAGTAAACCTTGCTATAAAAAATGGAATAATATATAATTTTCGCTGTCAATAAAAACTAAGGATCCATATTTATGTCCAATATAAAAATCTGAACCTCTCATATTTACAGTTATATTATTTCTATCTTAACCTTTCCTCGCGACATCATACTATTTAAATCCAAACGTATCATATTTACATCATATTATTTAAATCCACACCTCTCATATTTATATCTTTTATATTCTCATCATCTGAGTCATCCAAGTCCTCATTATCATTTGAATATATCCCTTCCACATCATTCTCATTTTCAATCATAACAGGACAGTTTGCACAGTTGACACATTGGCAGAGACCCTTTTTGCATGGACAGATTTGGGTAGCACATGCATTTGTCTTGCACTTGCAAGACATGTCCACGGTGACATCAGATGGCGCTGTGGGATTTACCATCCAACAATAGGAGAGCACTCCATCTTCAAAGGACCAGCCATGGCCTTCTGGGTTAGGCGCGTTAATAAACTGGTCGAAACACCTTCTATAAATTGCTACCTGGTATGGAGCTCGCTTAGAATGTTGTCAAAGACAATCCTCATTTGGTGGAAGAGATTTATCTGATTTACAGAGAAGAGAACATTTTAAACCTGGCATCATTAACCCAGTTTTTCTGTCCATACAAGTGACAGACAAATTCTTCAAGCTGAATGAACAATTCATCATCAACATCCCAATTTTTCCCAAGAATTTGAAAGCAATTAACAGCTGGCTCTGATTCAAGCATCAGCCTTAGGGATTTAACTTTTCCTTTCCCTTTAAAAGGCACTTAACGTGTCACATCCAGTAAAAGCATGAAGACCTACAAAAGCTAGACCTTTCCTTGGACCATGAAGACTTGCTAGATGAGAAATATTTACAATACAAGTTTTGTTGCCAGTCCCTGTCTTAAAATAGATAGTACTCTCGAAACAATGTACATAACCCAAAGCCAAGACCATGACATCAGTGTCTGGGCTCAAGATAACAATATCTTTATATTCCAAAGAAGCATGCTTTGCATGAAGTAGAAGTCTGGTATCAGCTTCTTCATGATCATAGTAAGGAGTGCTTTGGGTTCGCTCGCGTACAACACGTTGACGTGCTCTCCCAATTTTTGTTTAGTCCGTGTACTTCGAGTAGCACTTCCTACGGTACCCCAGCTCAGCGGGTCTCGGCGACTCAACTGTGTACTGAGAGAAAGTCTCGGCTATTTATTTCTTCCTGCCATCCAGGTCTATCCAGGACTTGCAACTTTCAATAAATCGCCGCCAACTGGCATCAGAAAATGAAATAATTGGACGTTCTTCGTCTTAAAACAAATGCAAAAAACATTTCACGGGCGCTGCCATATTTAAATAACCGAGCTCTCGCGATGAGATTCAGCCATCTGATTGGCTGATAAGCAAAACTCGAATCTCGCGATTTCTTAGATTACGGCGGAACAAATTATATTTTTAATCGACTATGACCTATTAATGTGCAAGTGAAAGGGTGGGAACATTGGTGTTTTAAGATCACTGTAGTCTCTAACAACTTATCCAAGTGAAAGAAAGTTGCCCCCTAAAAGTAGGGGAATTGCTTAAGGAGACGTCGTACAGATTCTGGCCCACGGACTATAAGTGGTACTTAAGAGTTGACGCACTCCAGTGGTAAGCAAATTCCTTTCTCCAGACATTGCAGATGACTTTACTTTTATCACCACTTCCGTCAGGCTGTTTTTTATAACTAAATGATGAAATCAATGACCCAGGCTGCGCGTTTTGTCTCCCTTTTTTATTTTAGAGTCTAACCAAAGATTCAACCGTCTCTGGTCTAATGGTGACTGACCAGAACGGTTCCAGGTCAAAGGTCAATACGACATTGATTAATATGCGTTTTTTTTAAATCTGTTATATTTTCTAAAATTAATTATTCGAAATGAACGCGTTATTTTGAAAGCACTAATATATATATATTATTTATATATTTGTTATATTCATGTAATTTAGTTAAAATTAGATAATATATTACATTACTGCAATAAAAGAATCGATTTTAGAACTTTATTTGAAATTTATTTAAAGGGCAGGGAAATAAAAGGTTGTTAAAATCGTTTATGAATTTATATATCTTATTGGCTCCATGGGGAGGTTTCAGGAGACTGGGCGAGGCTGAGATTAGTCCACGGTAGACTAATATGGGCTAGAGCAGGTTCAGTACCATCAGTAAATGGGTACAGGAAGAGGTATATGAAGTGGTGTTCCTGGGTCATGTGATTTCTGATGATGGGCGTTCCCTGTCTCCGCAGCATGTGGTTGAGGTTCCGAAATGTCGTAAGCCAATCATGGAGAAGCAGCTGTTGTCCTTCTTTTCAAGTCCAAGTTACAACATATTGCCAAGCAGCAGTAGGCTACTGTATGCAGTGGGAGATGTCCTGAAGCTTCAGGACAAGCGGCAGGCTGCATCAGAAGAGGCCAAAAGAAATAACACTACATACAGACTGGACCGCAGTCAGGTGTTTCTGGACTTATTTACACGCGACTATCTGCAATCCCAGAAGTCTGAACCCAGAAGACAGCAGCCACATAACTGAGGGGAGTTTTACGTGCTAACAGCCAGCCCAGTGGCCTATACCAGGCACTTACATGGTGCATTCAGGGCCTACTGCCACATTTCACGTTGCCCACCAACAGTGGTCCAACTTGTCTACACCAAGGAACAAAAAACAACACATGACACTAGATGTTAGAATGCAAGGATCTTCTGCTCCTGGTGGTGGTCTCAGTGCTGGAATGGGGAGATGGTATTTAGAAGTTAATCTTGCTGATTTGCGCACTGGCACCTCATTGGAACCAGACTCTGACGCTGGCACAATTAACAATAAAATCGGTTGGTTCAGTCACACTAGAGGGAACTAACACAGGTCCTGAAGTCCCGATAATAGGACTAGGCACTGTGACCACGGGTGGAGCAGGTGTAATTAACTGAGGCAACAGCTTTTGGAACAAATCAACTTCAAAGGAGAGCTACTGATCTGGGATGAAGTGACAGTGAAAAAGGCACCCTCAGCTGGGGCAGGATTAGGCATATCCCCACCAATCAGGGTCTTCAGCAATGAACCCGGGACTAATCATGAACTGGCACCACCGAATACAGCACACCACCTTTTCCTGAAGCTTGAATGACAATGTGAGTAACTGATTTCCACACGTCCTGAATTTTCTGAATCTTGCTTCTTTCATTTCAGATCAACACGAGCTGGACCTCTTTCAGAGGTTAAACTCATGGTTAGATCATGGTGGTTAGATCATGGTTAGCTTTTCTGTAACCTGCAGCCTTTCCTTAGCCCCCTCAAATGCTATTTGCAAGCGGGTCTAATGTTCCTTGACCCACTTGTGAACAGTTTCGACAACCTGATCCTGTACTCTTTAAGCAAGAAATCAATTGGGAGTCTTGTGAATGATGATTCACAAGTTGATTAGTGCTGGGTTGTGTTATATGCATACAAGCGGTCTCATTTGTTGGATGTGTGCAAATACAGCACAGTGCCTTGCAAGATAAAACGAAACCTGTAGACTTCCACTTGTTTGACATAAAATGTGAAAAACTTTCTACATGTACAAACTTATTTCTTTGACCACCTGAAACTTAAGTCAAGAGCTAACTGGGGTTTCATCCAGCTAATTGAGACAACCATAAGCAAATAACATTTCTCTATCTCTAATGAATATGGGTGAACGTTAGATACTGCTGTTGAATTGTCTATTTCCCATCAGTCATACAGAAGATTAAAGAAAATTTCTGATATAACTAAAAATGTTGAATAAAGAACATATCTAAGAAACAATTAAAAAGCAAAACTGAGGTTTTTCTCTTACCACATTTTTTCACTTACTGTATAATTTATCAGCTTTATATATGATATCCTTCATTGAAAAATGCTGTTTCCTCACAATTCATCATCTCATCCACTAATGAGCTACACGTCAAACCAAGTTATTTATAGGGTATCCTATTTAAGTGCTTAATATACCTATACCTGCACTGAATTATAGTCAAGGAACACAAGGTACTGACAATGAATAGAGGCCTAATGTTGTGTTTGTTTATATCCACATTTTTGTTTCAGAGGGGGATTTTTTAAATTTGAAAAAATAATCTGCATTGCCCAGCACAGGTTTGTCAATATTCGCATCAAAGCCACTTTTTACACCAAGGAACCTTTTGCAAAGCATATGGAATCACCACTCTCTGGAGACACATACTTAGCAGTGTTGTATTAGGAAACACATAACAGACGATTCAATTCAATTCAATTTTATTTATATAGCGTCAAATCACAACAACAGTGATCTCACAGCGCTTTCCAAAAAGAGCAGGTCAGACCCTACTCTGAAGTTATTTACAGAAGCCCAACAGTTCCCACCAAGAGCAAGCACTAGGAGACACTGGCAAGGAAGATCATCCTTTTAAGAGGCAGAAACCACTAGCAGAACCATGGCTCAGGGTGGGCGGCCATCTGCCGCAACCGGTTTGGGGTGAGAGAGAGAGGGCAACAGAGGGAGAGAAGGACAGAGAGAGGCAGCCTAATAGGTAACACATAGGCTGGATGAAAAATGGTACAGATATTGATAGTAATAATTATAATGATACAAGTAATAATAGCAATAGGACTAGGAACAGTAGTTGTAATTCTAGCAGAGTAGGAACACGGGGGCAGCAGGAGTTTCCCAACTCCAGATCCAGACTCCACATCTCCAGAGCCAAGAACACCTGCAGGAAGTGATGAGAGGAGAGCGACGAGAAAGCACATGACTACGGGAAAAAGTCCAGTAGTAAGATGCATTACAACAAAAAAAGCAAAATGCATTTAGCAACTAAACTTTTATGTTTGACTGAATGACCAATGCAACAGCTGGCCAGAGTAAGAATGCTGTTGTTGGAAACAATATAAGTTTCTACAAGATGAATTTAATAAAAGTAAATATTCTGGATTACAGTGTTGTTTGCCTATGTCTCAGAAAACCTAATCAAATATGATTAGTGTGTTCTGTTGCTTATTTGTCATAATTTCTTCCAGTATATA